TTATAAATGATTAAATATGGATATATGAAAATAGAAACTATCAATGTTTTTTTTAAGTTATTATTCTAATCTTTGAGATTTTAGATTGTTGTTTTTTTTATATATATATAATCATTAAAATGTGTAGATAATCAAGTAATAGAGGATAATGATATATCATTGTACACTCTTTTCTTTGAAATTTTTAGAAATAAAATTTAGACAAGAAAATAATTAAGTAAGTATATGCATCTGACTCATTAAAAATCTTAAAATATGACCAGAAAATTATTAAATAGAAAGCTGAAATGAATAAACTATTGTTAAAAAATGAAATAAATAATAGCGTATATTTTCTTGTACGTACAATTAAATACAATAAGTTTCAGTACCAAATTTTAAGCAAATTTCTATCTTTTATATGAATAGCCTCTAAGATTAATTTTTTGTTTTATAAATGCAGTAGATAGATTTTTCGATCATAAAAAAAAAAAAGAACCAAAACACAACAAAAAAACGTTAAAAAATCAAATAAAACGGGGTTAATTCATATAATGAATAGAAAGGCATATTTAAAAGCAGTAGAAACATGGGAGTTTAATCAGTTTTAAAACTATCAAAAAAGAAAAGAAAAAAAAGAAGAAAAATATTTTGAATATTTACAACAACAACAAAAAAACAACACGCATAATAACAACGATAAAATGAATAATTGATGTAAATGATTAACTGAATGCCATAAATGGAAGGATAAAATTAAGCAGAAAACGCAGTACATTGTATTGCACACCGAGACTTTTCTAAAACTGCTAAATTGCGAAACAAATATGATGAATAAAAGTTGTTATTTTGTTTCTTTTTTTTTTTGCATAAATAACACCGGATTACAAACAGCATATATAGTAATAAACAAAAAATAACAAATAAGAAACATTCAATGTAAATAATGACTAAAATTTCTAAATATCGTTTGTTTTAAATCATGTCATAATAGCAACATTTTCATAGAATAAAATAATGAGGTAGATATTTTTTAGATCTTAAAGAATGTTTAATTTGAAAGAAACGCTAATGCTCTTGCTATAAATAAAAATTATTTTTAAAATAAACAACGTATAAAAAAGAAAAAAAAAAAAAGAAGGTACAGATGATTAAATTTCTGTATAACTATAATCTCTTCCAATACCAATTGCACGAAAAAATACTGGACATGAAAATGAAATATTAAAGCCAATTGCAAAATAAGTCAAATAATAATAGGGCATTTCTATTTTAGCTAATCTTTTACATTCTGGATTACGATAATCTAGACCATAAATAAAACATGTAATTCTTAATACAACATTTTTAACGATTTGTCTTGTTAAAAATATGAGTATTAAACCTAATACGGTACGTAATAAACAATGAAGATAATTTGGATAGATAATTGAGTAGATAGGCGGTGTTAATGGTTTTTTTAATAGACCAAGTTTAAACATAGTTGTTGTTGCCGAACAGAGACCAAATGCACTTCCCAAAATGACAGTAGTATCACTACGAGCAGTTGACCATTGTTTTGGACTAGGATAAAATTTAATTAATAAAATGCCTATACTAAAATTAAGCAATGGAGCTAGAGCAAAATTTAATTGAAATTGATCGATGGCATCTACATAAGGAAACATTAAATAAACCAAAAACAAAGCATAAATTGTGCCAGCAATTATATCCTAAAATAGAACAAAATAAGAAAAATAAATGACAATGTGATTATACAAAATTCTATACTAAGTAAAATTAATTTCAATAAACAAATTAGAAATGTTTACTTAGTCATGATAAAATCTTTTTGAAAAAATTTGTCATATGACACTTCCTTTACATAAAAATCATCGTACTGAACGATATAATAGTAAAATAATGTTGAATTCACTTACCAGAAATGTATGCATGCCCAAATATATTCGACTAAGACAAACCCAAACACATGTAGTTGCAGCAAATGCAATTCCAATCCAGATGTTAAACTAAAATAATAAGAGTAACCCTACAATTATTTCCATATAATCATCATTCTATTTACATCATAACGTTGTATGGATAATAAAACCAATGATAGTGGTATTCCAGCAGCAAACATTGCATGTGTAGACGGAAAACCATATTCTTCCAAATAGCTAAACAAACACATACGTAGCAATGTTTAGTCAATTTAACAACAAAATTAGTCTACTTTTGAAAGAAAAAGAAAAAGAACAAAGAATACAGTATCTAAATAAGATCACAAAAAACCTCTTTAACATACCGTTTTTCTAATTTTAATACTGGTGGTGATCGTGGTCGTGGAATTTCTAGAATATCCTTTGTTGCTTGTCCAATATACATAAAAAATGCCCATAATATTGATATTTTTCGAGCAACTGAACCATCAACATTCCATACCTAAAATTAATATTATTAAAAATAAATATATCGTTGTTTAATGTTTTTTTGTTTTTTTTTTAATTTAATTTATACCCATGTAGGAAAAAAGAGTATATAAAATATTTCGTTTCCTAATGCGGCACCAAATTGAAAAAAATAATACCAAAACCAATTATCAATTTTATAATCTAATAAACCTTTACTCTTGTCAGCTAATTCGGTTTTTGAAACTAATTGTTGTGCTACAGCAGTTGAACTACTACTTCGTTTTTTATGCTGAATTTCTTCTATACATTCGTCAATAACATTTGTATCATATGTTATTTTTCTTTCATGTCCTTTATGTTGAGAAGATTTTGTTTTTAGATCATCATCTTTTGCATTACGATAACCATTTGTTATATGCTTATTAAGATCATATCCATTACAATATTGTGAACTAGAATCATTGTTATTGTTATTAAAATTTTCATTTTGATTTAAAAATGTTGTTGATACAGTATCCGTTGGATAATCATTTGGTAATATACCAAATTTTCGTTGAAAATTTGCTACGTGATTTGCATCATGTAACCAGAGAAAAAATGGTTTAAGTCGATCAATAATCATGTTAATAATTAAATAATATATCTACCTAACAAAGATAACAGTGATAAATAAAACGAATACAAAATAGAATTCACTTTCTTCTTCTACTTTAATGAAATTAGATATCATTGATCAATACAGATGTAACAATATTTTGAAGAAATTCTCGTTTTTTCATAATGGAGAACTGTTTAAAAAACGAAAATAGATATGAAACAACTACCATAGACAGAAATTAGATGACTCTTTTTTTTGAGAAATTCTAAAGATAACTGTTGAGATTATTTAGTATTATTTAACTTTATCAACATTAGGGCTGTGACAGTTACCAGTTACCGTTACCATCGTTCCCCGTTAGGGTAACGATAATTGACATAAAACTAATAAGCATCGTTCCTCGTTAGTAGAGGTAATGGTAATTGATATACAGTAAGAAA